TTTGGATAGTTTTCCCCCTACAATTTTATCTTCAATTCATCTCTCTCTTAGTATAATCACTCAGAAGAAACAAAGCCATACCTTCAACATTTTACTTAAAAGCATTCTCAGCTAAATAATCAATTTCACTCCTCACAAGTTCTCATTTACTAAATATCACAACATAGTCTAGATGAGATTTTTTTTGCCACTTTGTAACAAAGATTATTATTTATCCAGTTTCCAACAGCACTCTACTCATTTCAATCTATCAGAATGACCCTTAATATGTACATTTCTTTATGCAGATCAAAACCATCCAGCCTTTTACACATAACCCAATTCCATGGTGCTTTCACAGTGTTGAAATAATTGTAACATCAGAACCCCACTTCTTCATCCCAAATTCCATTTAGTCAGTTCAAACGGAAATTAAAAATGATCATACTTGGTCACTTATGCCACCTTAATTTTATCTCAGTTCATCGATTCTGGAAATTCAAATATAAAGATGCTGGCAAGATAGATTTTATTTTGAGGCTTCTACTGTTGGCTCAAAGCAACCACCATATTGCTATTTGGTCACATGACATCTTCATGTGGTGTGGTGTATGTGTGTGTCTGTGTGTGTGTTAAGAGAACGAAGGGTTAGGAGGGAGAAAGAGAGAGAGAGAGAGAGAAAGAGAGAGAGAGAGAGAGACTCTGGTGTCTTTACCTATACAGGCAATAATTCCATCTTAATGATTACACTCCCCTAATATGCTGCACAATTAAATACCTTCTCTGTAAGTCCATTATTGAATTGTAAAGAAATACCTGAGGCTGGGCAATTTATGAATGACATAGTTTTTATATCGCTCACGGTTGTGCAGGCTGTACAGCGGTGCTGGTATCTGTTTTTGCTGAGGGCCTCAGAAAGCTTACAGTCAAGACAGCAGGTGAAGGGGAGCAGTAGTGTCACATGGCAATAGGGGGGAAGAGAAGAAAAGGAGGTGGTACGAGGCTCTTTCAAACAATCAGCTCTCATGTGAACTCAGTATAGCTCACTCATCACCAAGGGATAGCACTAAGTAATTCATGAGCACTCTGCCCTTAATACCATACCTCCCAGCAGACTTCACCTCCAACATTGGGGATCACAGTTCAACATAAGATTTGGAGAAAACACAAATCCAGTCCACATCATTTTACCCTTTATGTCTTGCTTACAAGGCAATATACAACAATACTTCCCCAATCGTCCTGAAAAGCTGAACTCATTCTGGCATTAACTCAAAATCCAAAGTTCAAAGTCTCATCTGACACTCAAGGCAAAGTTCCTTTCACCTATGAGACTGTAAAATTAAAAACAAGTCATTTACATCCAAAATAAAATGATGCATCAGAAACTGGATGAACAGTCCTGTGCTCAAAAGAGAAATTGGCCCAAAAATTGGGTAAAAGGTTTCATGGAAGGCTGAAAGCTAGTGGGACAGTCATTGAGTCTTAATGTTCTAAAACAATCATGACTCCATGTCTAGTGTCCTGGTGCAAGGGCGTGTACGCAAGGCCTTGGGCAGCCCTACCTTTGTGGCTTCCCTAATGCTGCCCATAAGGCTGCTCTCATGGGTTGGAGTTGGGTGCCTGTGACTTTTCCAGGCTCAAGGTACAAGCAGCCTCTGGATCTACCATTCTGGGGTCTGGAGGTTAGAAGCCTCCTTCCATAGCTCCACTCGGCAATGTCCTGGTAGGGACTCTGTATGGAGGATCCAACCATACATTTTCCCAGCGATTGCCCTAAAAAAGTTACTTTGTCCCCTAAAAGAGGGAAGCACGTAGTAACTGTTAATGTAATTTAATGATGTATTTGAAAGCTTCATGGTCATACAAACACACATACATGCACAACAGCACAGCAAAGACACATCAGAATGCCCATGCAAAGCGAATGTATATCTAAACACCAAACAACACACATGAACTTTCGTTAACAAGACAAGGACTTCTATAGATCACTCATGCACAAATATACAAAATGTGTTTTTGCATTTGTGAATGTCTAGAGAAAAAGAATCTGTTGAGAAAACTTCTTCAGGTGACAGAGATCTGTTTAAGTTGGAGATCTCACAGGAGTGTGTCTTTGAGTGAATACTGGTCTATTAATTAAATAGATCAAAATTCCCTCTGTTGGAACAGCCTTCCAATTATGTAGATTTCCTTATTGCTTCTTGAGTTGTGAAACATAAACCTAAAGACTGAGTTACTGGAATTTGACTGCAGTGTTGATAAAATTTCTGATATGGTTTCTTCCAATGATTTACGAACAGATTTCCTGTGTCTTTACTCCAGGAAATGAATTTTCACAAGGTCTCAGGACACCGTGTTTCAGGTACTTTAGTTAAAGAGACTGATTCCTGGGGGCAGGCAGCTTTCTTCTAACGATGAACTTACTTCTTCTGCAAAGCATTCTGTTTGTGACTCTATTGCCATGACCCAGGAAGTCCAGCTGACTTCACCTCTCAAAACCTCTCAATGCTGTTTTATCAGGAGAAGGAGTTCCTAGAAAGAATCTGACTCAATGACACATGGATAAAGCATTGTTTGGAAGCATACGTATTCGGGTGTGGAATGGCAAAATCTCATAACCTGGTTGGCAACAGAATTAGCCAGTCTGAGACAGCAGGTGAACCAAAGTGGATGTCTGGAGGTAAATGGAAATTAGAAATGATTATTCGGCTGGGCGCGGTGGCTCACACCTGTAATCCCAGCACTTTGGGAGGCCGAGGCAGGCAGATCATCTGAGGTCAGGAGTTCCAGACCAGCATGACCAACATGGAGAAACCATGTCTCTACCAAAAATACAAAATTACCTGGGCATGGTGGTGCACACCTGTAATCCCAGCTACTCAGGAGCCTGAGGCAGGAGACTCGCTTGAACCCAAGAGGCAGAGGTTGCAGTGAGCTGAGATCCAGCCATTGCACTCCAGCCTTGGCAACAAGAGCGAAACTCCATCTTAAAAAAATAAAATAAAATACAAAAATAAATAAATAAAATAAAATAATTTTTAAAAGCTTATAATTCATACTCCCAAACAGGTGGCTCAATCAATACATAAGGAAACATAAAATGACAAAAAATAGCCTACATATGCAATTTCTATTTGTGAGAAGTAAGTGAACATCCAGGAGAGTGATTGCATGTCCCCTTCTCCCTCTCTCATTTAAAGCAGATCAAGGCAGACCTGGGGAAGTTTTCAGATGATCCTGATAGGTATATAGATGTCCTACAGGGTCTAGGGCAAACCATCGACCTGACTTGGAGAGATGTCATGCTATTGTTACATCAAACTCTGGCCTTTAATGAAAAGGATGTGACTTTAGCTGCAGCCCGAGAGTTTGGAGATACCTGGTATCTTAGTTGAGTAAATGATAGGATGCCAGCTGAAGAAAGGACAAATTGCCTGCCAGTCAGCAAGCTGTCCCCAGTATGGATCTCCACTGGGACCTCGACTCAGATCATGGGGACTGGAGTCGCAAACATCTGCTAACCTGTGTTCTGGAAGAACTAAGGAGAATTAGGAAAAAGCCCATAAATTTTTCAATGATGTTCACCTTAACTCAGGGAAAGGAAGACCTCCTCACAGATGAGAAAGGAGGACTATGCACCTTCTTCACTGCCATGAATCATGAAGCGTTTACACTCCTGGGTCGAGTGGGGACTTGGAGAACTTTTCTGTCTTGCAAGAGGTTTGTAAAATGCACCAATCAGCGCTCTGTAGTTAGAGGTTTGTAAAATGCACCAGTCAGCGCTCTGTAGTTAGAGGTTTGTGAAACGGACCAGTCAGCGCTCTGTAAAATGGACCCATCAGCAGGACACGGGCGGGGACAAATAAGGAGATAAAAGCCTTCCCAGCCGGCAGCGGCAACCCGCTGGGGCCCCATTCCATCCTGTGGGAGCTTTGTTCTGTCGCTCTTCGCAATAAATCTTGCTGCTGCTCAATCTCTGGGTCCGTGCCCTCTTTAAGAGCTGTAACATTCACTGCGAAGGTCTGGGGCTCCATTCCTGAAGTCAGTGAGAGCACGAACCCACTGGAAGAATGAACTCTGGACACAGTTGCATCTGCCACCCTCAGGCTCCAAAGTCAGTAAAAACACAGGACTCATGAGAACTGCTATGTTCACAGGAACACTTTATTACAGCAAAATAATACAATTCAAAATACAAGGGGAAAAAGGCACAAGGGGTGAAGCCCTGGCGAATCCAGGCACAAGCGCTCAGGGGTCCTCCCAAATGCAGCCTCCCGCACATGTGTAATTCTCCAGGTATGAGGTAAGATGGCTTGTGTGAAGTGTCGACCCCCAGGAGAGGGACCCTGAGCTTTGTTGTCCAGGGCTGTGTTTTAGGAATGAATCATAGACTATGGAACACCTGGGTAACTGACCACAATACTCAGACAACAGCCATCCTCAGGAAAAAAAAAAGTAGCAGGCATTCACTACAAAGCACTATGATTAAACTTATACCACATGTTCCAAGGCTGCAGACAACCACAGACACTGTGGTCTGGCATAACATTTTAAGGACTCAGAGCTCTCATCCAGGAGGTAACTGAGAGCCCTACATGAACAATATTTTTTTTAGGAATGTGCAGGGTTTAAACAATCCAGGCCTGCTGAGTTAACCCTCTACTGTACACACATCTCGATCAGAGGGCAGCAGGGACGTTCAATGAAAGGCCGGACTCAGCAGAGAGGGTAGAGATGGCCAGGTCAGGACCCCAAGGAGCAGCCAGAGAGACTGTAGGGGGGAAACTGAGAGCCTCTGGAGGGGCCTATGGGTGTACCATAGCTGTGAGTTTAACCAAAGCTGTTGGGTTTCCCAGGAGCCCAAGAAAATGGTGCCACAGTGAAGGGTGTGGGGAAGTGGCCATAAACATCAGTGGATGTGTGCAGGAGGGGAAGGGAGCCGGTGGGGTTAAGAATGAGGAAAGAGAGCAAGGGATATGGGCATTCCTTACAGAAGCAGGTTTAGCAATAAGCTTTCAGATGCCTCTTGCCTGGACTTCCATCAAGATGTCAAAGATAAATTGGAGGTATGTTTCCCATCTGACAAATACCAGAGTGGGGAAGGAGCTGGAGGCGTTGCTGGGACACAACACCCTGGACGTAACCACAGCCCCTTTTGTCCTCACACTGCCCTGCCTGTCCTCCATCCTCACAGCATGGAGGTTCTCATCTTTGTCCTATGGTGGGAAAAACATCTGGTTCTTGGAACACTAACAAGACCTCCAGACACGTGTAGGTGGTGGAGTCTACTATACATCTTGCATTTCCAAACAAGTTCTCTATCTACTTTTCATCAATGTGTTCATGAAGCTTCAGGGCAAGTGAAATAAGGCAGTCACCAAACAGTGAAAACAAATCACCTATATACTCATGTCTGGATGACTCCTGGGTTTCAGAATCAAAGAATTGGACAGAGAAGCACAAGCATTGCTGCTCAGGACTTCTGGACACCACACATGAACGCTGAAATTCACAAAACACCCATTATAGTAAAACGGAGATCCTCACTTTCATTCAATGTTTGAGGTTACTGATCTATTAGGAAATACTAAAGGTTGATTTGTTAAAGAAAAAATACATATACAAAGACACGTGTTCCAGCACAGTAAGGAAGACTTTATCCAGGGCCCTCGTGATAGGTGTAGGGACCACGGCAATGGGATTTTTGCAGTGGGGAGGGAGATTCAGCAGAACTCCAAATACAGAATGAGAACGTGGGGATTTATAGGCATGCAGCAGGGTTGGAGCAAAGGATGGAAAATCACCAAGAAAGAAACATCAGGACTGAGGGAAATCCTGCTTAAGGCAGACTGCCAGGATTTTTGTTGAAGTTAGACCAGGGTGATCAGATGTCACCCAGGTTACGGTGAAGGACAAGGAACCTGATAAGATATACAGGAAAATCAGACACTCGGTATGGGGAAACCTGGCTAAATCAACACTCCAGAATTCCAGGTAAAACCGAATTTTACAAGACAGTGCAGAGAGAGAGGCTTAGGATAAGATTCAGGAGCCTCCTAACTTCTCGTGAAGCAAATAAGCTTTATCAGGTTGGGACACATAAATGGTGTCACTTTCTGCTGACCAAGCTCACAACTAAATGAAATGAGAACAATGCATCACAAAAATGTAAATTGAACCATATTCTGAATTTCTGAAGATGGTAAGTGGCAGAATGAGCTGAGATGTGATAGATCAGGGGGTCTCCTAATTCTGAACCCCACAGTTAGTTCTCGGCTGTGTTCACTGAGTTCACTGAGTTCAGCACAGCTCGAGGTTCCCACACGCACAAACACCTGACTCCATGAATCTGCAACCGGGGGTCTCTGCAGGCTCTGAGGTGCACAGGACAGATCCCACCTCAGAGTCAGCCTCAGGTAATTATCTGCTCTTCCTGTGGGGAGGGGAGGAACAGTGTGGAAGGAGGGGCAGCTGTTTGCTACTTAGGATCTCTGTACATGAAAGAAAACAAGGAAAGTGGGGAACACACGTCCTCAACCTATGTTACACTTCCACATGAGATAGGCAACTCCATGCCAGGACATTCTGCAGAATCAAAGCACTCGAGGTAAATGTAGGAATCACTATTGTTTACAGACTGCATGTTTGTTTCTATGTCATCCACAGAAATGAATTAAAAGCCTGTGTTCTGTATAGAATCCACACCGTGTGGGCCCTGAGTCAGCACCTCCCTGCCTCCACCTTCAGGGAGCACAACGCACCTGACCCAGGTGCCCGGGGCTGCACTCTGTCTTCCATGCCATGGCTGGTGCTGGAGCCCCGTCCTGGGCTCCACTCTCAGGAGAAGATCGAGCTCTGCGCTGATCTGAGCAGAGCCACTGCTGGGAGTCACTGGGTCCCTGATGGGAAACTTTGACATGACTCTGACTCAGTGCCCTTGCTGGACCTTCTAGAACAGCACAGAAGTTTAAGAAAGTTCCTCCCAGTCCTCCTCCCTCTCTCCTTCACTCACGGACTGACTTCCCTCACATGCCTTCAGATTCCCCAGCCTCCTTCCACCCCCTCTGCATTTCCTCTCAAAAGCGTGGACGGGTTCCTTAGGAAACTGTACACAAACGTAATCCAGTCATAGAATGTGCTTCTCCGAAGACCAATACTAACACACATGTGTTGGTAAACCTGTTTATAACACCAGCCAGATTCTACTGACAAGTATATGACATGAACTGACCACGGCAATCACCAGTTTTATGAGTCTCCTTGGCTAGAACACAGTCTCAATTATTAAATCATACACTAATCTAGGTGTTGCTCTGATGGTTTAATATAGGTGTTATCGAAGCCTGCCATCAATTTTCTCAAGCTAGGAAGATAGTACTAGTTAACCTGGGTGTGCCTGATTTAATTCTAGCAGAACAGAAGACAACACAATTCCCTGATGGATGGCAGGTGCGCCTCTTTCCAAGAACTCCAGTCTGTCATTCCTGATGGACAGCCCTAGACACGCCTAGACAGAAGACACAACTGCTGTCACCAAGATCTCTCCACACACTGAGGGTCCACCTAAGCTTCCTCAAAGTCACAGGTGAGGAAGGTGACACAGGTAGTTTGAGCAGCTCCACATCACAAATCTAGACAGGGTTCTGGGGAAACTGCTAGATGGAGAAACAACTAAGTCTCTGAGAGGAAACCAGCCCTTAACCTCCCTGGGCACCTGGTCCCTGAGTTAACTGTGTTCTTAATGTGTCCTGAGTGCCCTCTGCAGCCCAGGCCCCTCCTGTCTTCCTGCAGGGACGTTTTTGTCTGGGCTCTCACTGACTTCCCCGCACTGTGTATCTTTTGCACAGTAATACATGGCCGTGTCCTCGGTTTTCAGGCTGTTCATTTGCAGAAACAGTGAGTTCTTGGCGTTGTCTCTGGAGATGGTGAATCGGCCCTTCACAGAGTCTGCATAGTATGTGCTACTACCACTCCAGCTAATAGCAGAGACCCACTCCAGACCCTTCCCTGGAGCTTGGCGGACCCAGTGCATGGCATAATCATCAAAGGTGAATCCAGAGGCTGCACAGGAGAGTCTCAGGGACCCCTCAGGCTGTACCACGCCTCCCCCAGACTCCACCAGCTGCACCTCACACCGGACACCTGCAAACACAGAGACACCCTGGTCAGAAACTGTCGTACAAATCTACTGTTTCTCTCACTCATGTCCACTCACACTCAATTTCTCTAGTTCTCCATAAATCACCTTTTAAAATAGCAACAAGGAAAACCCAGCTCAGCCCAAACTCCATGGCGAGTCCTCTGTGTTCAGTGCTGATCACCGAACAGAAACACCTGGAAATCTCAGTGCTGGGCTCCTGTCTCAGAGCTGCAGGGTCAGGGCTGGGCTGGTTTTCATCAGCAGAGGGAGGGCCCTATTTGCATGTCTCCTGCTATATAGCGAGTTCTGGAAGGGATGCCTCAGGGTGGGCTGTGTCCCAGCATGGATGTGAGTGACTATGCTTCGTAAATAATTAATTCTCATTAGCGTTTCTACTTAGAGATGCACATGAAGTGTGTTCTGTGGGAGTCAATGTTTCCTTCATTTACAGATGTAAATGTAAACCCCCAATCCCACAGGGGCCATGGGATATGTCTAAGAGCTCACATCTGGTAAGAGCCAGTCTCGCTGTCTGGCCTGTGTTTCTTATGGCTGGATCCGACTGCTCCCTAAATTAACTCTAGGACAGAGCTAGAAATTCCGAGTGAGGTTTACAAATTCCTCTTCTTACAATGATATCATGATATTATTTGGCTGTATCTTAGTGTTTTTCTAAGTAATATAGAAAAACTGAGGGTTAACTCACGTGTTGATTCAGCAGTTCATGACTTTTCCGGTATTATTTTTATTTCTCTCTTCATCTTTTTTTTTTTTAACCAAATTATACACTTTTATTTGGAATAGTTTTAATGCGGTAATATTGACAAATAATCTTCACACAATATGTTCACCTTTTGAAAAATATTGACATAATCACCATTCACAGAGGAAACAAATCAATCCATCTCACAATTTTCTCTTTCTCCTGCAGTTTCACCTTCCTACACCGTCCCTCCTCTTACCAGGTAGAAGTCAGTTGGGGAATCATTTTTACATGACTTGCAATGAGTATTCACTTTGTACAGTTTGTAAAATGGAATCATACATATTTGCTTTGGCTCGTTATATTCATCGTAAGTACATACATGTGAACTGAACCACGCTGTGGAGCGTATCCAACATTAACTGACTGTAGTAGTGGCTACTGTGCCAATAAATGCTGATAAAGATGTGGATTAATATTTGGATTGGTTTCAGTTTGTGTGTATTTCAAATAAAGCTGCTGCTCTGCTTAGAGGAGTACACAGCTGAGAAACATGTTCTTAATCTTACAAACAACATGAACAACAGCTAAACTGGTCAAGTTGCAAATGAGTCACTCTTTTTAATACATCAGGTAATTAAAGTTATAGCACCCAGCGTGTTTGTCAGGGTGTGTGAGAGAAAGAAAGAGGGAAGAAATGAGACTGAAAAAGAAATTCTACATAATTATTAATTTGTGAGGTCCTCAAATGCAGGGACTTATTCCTAACGAACAGGGTCCACATAGGTTGAAGAGGGTAACTTGATGCGCCCACATATGGCTATAGATTTATAACATTAATGTTATTTTCTAAACTCATAAACACTCATACACAGTAGAATAGATGTAGTGGAGGGTGTCCAGTGGCGCAATGAGAAGGTGACACTAAACCCCCTCTCCAGGGCCTTTCCCCGCCTGCTGCACCTGCCCTGATACTGAACCTTGAGCCTGCCTGACCACTGAGCCCTACAGTGGTCCTGAGCCCCCATGCAGTGCCAAGTGCCCCTTGGGTTTCCTGAATGCCCGCCTCTGTACTCAGCACCCCCTGCTGTCCTGTGAACTCCACAGGGAGGTTTGTGTCTGGGCTCACACTGATGTCCCCTCACTGTGTCTTTTGCTTAAAAATACGTGGTTGTGGCCGAGAGCAGTGGCTCACGCCTGTAATCCCAGCACTTTGGGAGGCCAAGGCAGGTGGATCACGAGGTCAGGATCTCAAGAACAGCCTGGCCAACATAGTGAAACTCCGTCTCTACTAAAAATACAAATATTAGCTGGGCGTGGTGGTGAGCAACTGTAGTTCCAGCTACTTGGGAGGCTGAGGCAGGAGAATCACTTGAACTCAGGAGGTAGAGGTTGCAGCGAGCGGAGATTGCACCACTGAACTCCAGCCTGGGTGACACAGTGAGACTCTGTCTAAAAACAAAACAAAACAAAACAACAACAACAACAAACATGGTTGTGTGCTTGTTGCTCCCGTAGCTCAGCCATAGGAAGAACTGTTTTTGGATATAGATCTGGAGGTGGTGACTGGACTCTTGAGGAGCGGGTTGGAATTTGTGCTCCCTTCATGACCTGTGCACCTGACCCACTCCAGTCCCTCCACTGGGGGCTGACTGATCCAGATCCAGCAGGAAACACTGGTTGTGATGAGGAATCCACCACATAAACTGAACTGTTATTGTCGTTGATACACTAAACAAAACGTGGCACTCATTTTTATTGTGTTGAGATACACATAACATAAAATGTACCATTTTAGCCCTCAGTAAACGTATGGGTCAGTGATGATTTACCCACTCACCATGCTGTGCAACCATTTCCACTATTTGGTTTGGGAACATTTTCATCACAGAAAAGGAAAGCTCACCTCCATTAAGTGGTCACTCTTCGTTTCCCTTCCCCTGACCTCCTGTGATCTGGGATTTTCCTCCTCTGCATGCTTCATGTCAATGGGACATTTCAGGATGTGGACTTCTGTGTCTACCTTGGTTCACTCACCCAATGTTTTCAAGGCTCATCCAAGTTTCAGCCTATGTCAGTGCTTCACTCCTCTTTAAAGCTGGGTTAGAGACATACAGACACACCACAGCGCCTGCATCCCTGTGGGTTACAGACACACAGACACACCACAGCATCTTCATCCCTGTGGGTTACAGACACACAGACACACTACAGCGTTGTCACCCCTGAGGTAGCCGATGGGCACTTTAGTTGTATTTTCCATTTGACTACTGTGAATAGTGACACCAGGTACATTTGTGTATAAGGTTTTCTGTGAAGACCATTTTCCAAGGTTGCTGTTCCATTTCAATACCAACTGGCAACCCACGGCCATTCCAAATTGAGTATGTCTTTACCTGATTATGTTTTTTCTCTTTAGTTTTGAATACTTGTTTTCTCAGTGTGTTAACGGCAGTAATCTACAAGGAACTTAAATCAGCAGCATAACCCAAATAACCACATTTCAAATGGGAAAGGGACGTGCTCATAAACTTCTCAAATGCAGACATAGAAGTGGCCAACTAACGTACAAAAAATGCTCAGCATCCTCAATCATCAGATACGTGCAAATCAAAACCAAATGAAATCCTATCTAACCCATGTCAGAACTGCTATCAATAAAAGGTACAAAATTAACAGATGCAGGCAAGGCTATAGAGAAAAGCGCCACTTACATACTTTTGGTGAAAATGTAACTGGGCCCAGGCACTGTGGAAATCAATCTAGAGATTTCTCAACTTAAAACAGAGCTGCCATTCCCCTCAGCAATCTCATTACTGGGTATATACCCAAAAGAAAACAAATCATTGTAACAGAAAAACACATCCACTCACGTGTGTATCACTGTGCAAATCACAGTACCATAGACATGGAATCAACCTAAACGTCCATCAGTTATAGACTGGGTAAAGAAAACATGGTTCGTATACACAGTGGAATACTATGCAGCTATAAAAAAGAATGAAATCATGCTTATTTGCAGCTACTTGGATGCAGCTGGGGTCAAAAATCTGAAGCAAACTGACATAGAAACAGATGATAAGAGTCAATGGGAGAGAAAATGAACATTTTGGGTGTTGCTCTGTGTGAAATTAAGAAAAGAAATCCCTGGGTACACGAACTCTTGAAATACAAAAGCCTGGAGACACTCCTGTCCTTGCTTCCATTTCGTTAGGTTGTGCTTTCTCTCATTTTTATTCAGTTAAAATTGTTTTCCTTTACTCTTGGTCCAAATAGCCACACATAATCATGTAGAGACATTACAATAAAAATAACAAATCTGAATATTATCTAAATTAGGAAAATTTGTTTACATCTTTTAGATTAGATTCCTATTGAAATCCTTGATCTAATACCATCTCTGATGCATCATACATCAGTAACGAAACTGGAGGTTATGCATTCAATTGGGTAGTGCAAACTTTCATTCACAATTTGTTCTTCTACCTGATGTAAAGTCAGTCCGGAAGGCAGAAGTTATTGCCACCAACATAGTTCGCCAATAAGCCAAAGACAAGCATTAAAGCCATGTTCCAGAGGAGTGCCTGACTTTGGGATGTGGGATGCTGTTCACACAAAGAAATTCCTCACATCTTCTGGAACATGTAAAAATGCACAACAAAATAACAAATTTTAGATGCACTCCTACATTTCAGAGACCTGACTAATGTAACTTAGAAAGTAAAAACCAAAGGAAACATGACATGGCATAACATCTAAAAGTATACATATTGTAGTGGGTTATCACACCAAGCAAGCAGTCTTATCAGTCAGGAGTTTATAATATTATCTGAATACGGAAGGCATTAGAATTATGTATACAATACAGCATCCGTCCCCTCCACAATCTCCTGAAAATGTTGAAGAAAATTGTCATCCTTAAACTAAAATTGTGAAAACCTTAAGAAAATCTTGAACTTCCTTGGCCAAAGTTTCTCTCCCTAGCAAGACAGCCTTATAGTTAACCCCCTCAGGGAGACATCAGTTATTAGCCTATGATTTGGTAGCTGGAAGGCCCATACATTCAGAGATTTACCCCCAGTGCTCACCTCTGTTCTGTTACATGAATGCATGACAAAGTATTGAAAGTGATGACTGCATTTTACCCACTCCATTCATCAACAGATTAAACCATCATTTCCCTACATCTTTTCAATAGCCTTTAATAACATTAAACCAGGGAATTGTATCTATTGTAAGAAACATCAGGGTGGGATATTGCTCTTGAACCACTTTGGAGTGAATTTTACCAGGTACTTTTAACCACAACACAGCAGTGAAATTGCAGAATGTCAATAGTTGGGTTCATATTTATAAACTGGAAACTAAAAATAAATCCCTTATACCCCCGACTCATTAAATAGTCTATCTCTTGGCCTAGGGAACCCCCAAAAATCTAAAACTGTTTCCAGTCATGACAAAACAAGAGATCACACACGCCTCATTATACCTACTCCCCTGTGTGCTTTAGACACAGCAATG